ATGGGAACAAAAGAGTTTTTCTTCCCTAGAAGTATGCATGCTTTGAAAACACCTGGGACTAGAATGGATGTATGGTGTAAGAAATCTAGGCTATCTCAAAGAAACCTATGTTAGTAAGTTTGGTACCCATGAGATTTAGGCTGCAAGCTTTCTTCAGCTGTCTTGTAAAACCCAGCCTATATGTAGCTGGTTTTGAGAGGACCAACAGCCTCATTCAGTGGGTGTTCTTAGACCTATCTTTAGTGATTTTCTTGGATGCAAGTAGGACATATGCTTAGTGAACAAACAGAATTCTATTAACAACCAAGCTCCAGTGACCTTAGGAGCTTTCCTGAAATGTACCCTTCTTCTTTCTCCTTTTGTATGACTCCATTAGAATCAGAAGTATTGAAGGCTTGTGATATGTTAATCTCACTCTAGAAATGGAGTCCCAGCTGTTGGGGTTCCCATTACTGTGTTGTTGTGGGGAAGTTATCTCGAAAGTCACCTGCTTGGAAGCATCACTTCTTAAAAACTGAGGATTTCATTTTTATTTCAGGAAGTTGGAAACTAATTCAGGGGAAAAACTTGCTCAGGGTTCAGTTTTGTTGGAGCTTTTCTGTCACTGAACTCTTCTGATGGACTTTCAGAACGCCCTTTTTGTAATAGGGGCTGTGAAATGGTCTCTGGATGTGGCATTCCATATTTATCAGCAATCTAAAGCGTAAAAGAAAGTGTATGAAAAGCTGGATTCTTTTTGTTTGATTTTTGACTGGAAGAGGTTGAAAAAGAGCTAGTGCCATGCAGACGTGAAAGAACTTCTGCAAAGACTACTGTGACTGTTGTGAATGTGGAGCTGTATACACAGGCATTTTGAAAACTACGCTAATGGCCTTATTTCAAGTCAAAACAACACAGCCAGAATGTTTCTGGTTTTACCCTAGAAAATGTATCAGATGGGCAAAATATTTAGAGATAAAAATGCTTTGCTCCAAAGCATCAAATGGGATAGTTGTATTAATTGTTTATAAGCCCCAAACTGTACTTATTGCTTAGAAAGGATGAAAGAGAAACAAGGAGAAGATAATATTTAAAGAATGTGGTAGTGGTTCTTTATTTGGTAGAGACTTTTGCTTAACCTGAAGAGACCATGAGGGGGTTTATTAAATGTTTTCATATCTATGCTGTGTCCTGGTCTCAGCTAGAATAAACTTGATGCAAGCTGAGGGGAGGATTGCTTGTTTAATTCGTACATCCTGTATTAGTTCAGCCTTACTCCTTCAGCCTTAGGGCTCTCGTAGAGGTGACTGAGTTCAAGTGCCGGGATCCACCACTTGATCTGATACCCTTTTGGGACTTCTGATGGGTCATTACTGACAATTTGGGTGTTAGATGAGGGAGAACGAATAGAGAAAACTCTTAACTAATTGCTGTGCTACTATAGCCATAGCCATATTTCATTTTGAGTGCGAAAGGAGGTAAAGGATCCTTTTGGACATAGATCAGGAGTCATTATAAATACATTTCTTGGTGAGTGTTTCATGCTGAGGCTTCCTAGAGCATTTGAGCTGATACAAGATTGGCGAGTCCTATTTTGCATTGACTCCAATCAGGCACCGATCCTACAGTAAAAAGCCTGGATTTTATTCTGAAAGCATTATACCTCCACATGATATGTGCTTGCTGAATATGTACACGTGCTTGTGTGCATTGTCCATCTGAGGAGAAAAAACCCAAAATACATTTAAAGCTGTGCTTTGTCCTCACTCAATTATGAACTCTCCAACAGCGCTTATTTCCCTAGAATTTTGGAGAACCACTTTTGACTCTTACTGTAACATAAAACTGTTTCTAGGCATGAACAAGGTCAAACCTGGAAGATAAAACGAGCTTTTATGTTCCTCTAGTAATGCAGGCAGAGAACAGCGCTCTAAGTAGTGTGCTTTAAAGCAGCACAGCAAGATGAGTGCTTCCCAAGTTTATAATGTATGTGGGAACGTTGCAATTAGTCCTGGCTATTGTGTGGTAATCGGAGGTGCAGACTTGCAAAAATGCTCATTTTGACAAAAAAATGTGTTGATGTGATGAAGTTTAGCAGCAAATAATAAAGGGGGGGGGGAGGAACTGTTGTTTTTCTAGTCTTAAAGCAATTGATTCCATGACACCTTTCTGTGAAATAATCTCTGTATCTGTGTTGTTATGCAGAATGGAATTCCATAATGTAGCACAGGCAAAGAATGCAGCTTCAGCAGAGCACTGCGGGTGCTGTCTGGTTCATGTCTTGTCTGCCTGTGCAAAAAATAGGGCTTGTCACTGTTGGGGCTGGGTAACCCTAGGGACTGCAGAAACACGTCTAGGTCTACTGCTACCCTCACCACCAGTGCTACGAACAGTTCTACATTTAACTTCTTTATATTCCAGTAGGTATTAGAAACTCGTTTCTTGTAGTCCTGGCATGAAGCTGACCACAGTCAGACTTGGAAAACCCCAGTGTCCTCCCCAGTCATCTACTCTCCTGTTACCATCCAGAAAAGGTTGGGATTCAGTCAGGAGTCAAGCCACTTTCTGTCTAGATCTGCAGGTGTTTGTTTTAATAATATTTCCTTCTTGAGGTCTGATCGATTCTGATTTTTAAATCTCCCAGGTTCAGACTATGCCTTTTGGAGAGTTTGTGTCACTGCTGTGCAGTTTATATCCCAGTTTCTTTTGGGTTTTTCCTTCTCTGTGAGCAGAAGAGCTTTTGCAATCCTCATTTGACTTCTGTGGCTTCATCTCCCTGCCCTGGTCTGTGTCACTACAGCCCTAAGCAGTGCTTGACTATCAGTGGTATCTACTGACATGCAGGAGCCTCACATGGAGACATGCAGGTTAGTAGGCATTTGACTTGGAGGCATAATGGGGGTGGCTGGAGGACTTTCTCTGCTAGTCTTGTTTTCTTGTGGGCTTGTGCAGTCACACCTCTCAAATGATCCTGATGTTAACTTCACTTTCTCTCCAGTAGCAACAGTGGAATCCCCTATTCTGGAAGGGGATTCAAACACAGCATCTGTTTAGTTTCCTGTTGCTCAGCATTTTTTGTTGGTGCAATAGGTCCTCTTTTGGTTTATACCAATGTCAGTGTCTTGCCGTCTGTGGTGTGTCATACTCTGCTTGCCTCTTTGCCCTTGTAATAGGGAAAACTAAATGGGTAACAGCAAATGTCCCAGAACAATGTTCTGTGTTTGTGCTAGAAAAATATGTAGACTGTGAAAGAAATGAAGGGTAACAGACATTATGGGAGTTGATAAGAGTGCCTTTATTGTTAGCTGTTGATGAGCACAGAGGAGGATGTTGTCAGATCTCTATATAAACTCCCATGAATTAGGCTGCCATGATGTAACTTGTCACTTCTTGTGCTAATTGTGAACCATGGGGACAGTCAAAGCTAGAGGTGACACTGGTACTTTGGACAATTTCATGAAGATATATTTGGAAAGAGGAACCTGAAATCTGCAGCAGAACGTGAGTGCTGGAATATGGGCTGCTCTGCTGCACTGCCCCTGCTAAACTGTCCTTGCTCATGGCTCTGCTGTACAGCATTTCCCAACTTGTCCTTGCTTACAGGTCTTTGAAGGTGTTAAACTGCTGCTTCTGTCAGAGCCTCAAAACCAGGTTAACCAAAGTCATATTACTCACACTGACTGCTGCATGACTTGTCTAAACTGCTGCTCGTAGTGCACAATGGAGTCCCAAGTGTTAAGCTATTGACTGCATTGACAGTAAGCAGCTCCTGAGAAGTTTCACCTGACCGCTCTGCAAGCGGATTGTGTGATGCTAATTGCTCTGGCTCAAGGGCAAAGCAAACTTTAGTTTATAAATTCACTACTACACTGCAGCTATGGCCTTTATTGGCTTCTCGCAGGTAAACTCGTCTGAACAGAAGCAGAATTATTTATAAGATTTAATAGTAACCAGTTTAAAAGAAATGGGGATCATTGTCAAAACCAGTGGAGCAAAAACTCTGCACACATTGGGAAGTGGAATAATTCGTGTGAACTCCAGAAATCCTAATCTATTGGCACAGTATCCTGTAACAGCAGTAGCAGATGTAGCTATGGGTCCACAGAAGAGAACAAATCAGGTGCACACCTGGAAATAGGAAATTGGCAGAAGCTTCCTAAGGGAGGGACATAATTTCCTTCAGTAAACCTTGGCACACTTGCTGAAAGATTTCACTTTCCAATGGAAAGCACTTTAATATCCTTTTGACTAGCATCAATTTTGTTATTATATTGTGTGAAAGTCACATCTAGAGTCCTTAATTAGGATTTAAATTCCCATTAGTCAAGCTGATCTAATGAAAATGAGACATTTGATAATGATGAGGCAGTGGAAAGGAAACATTTCTTATTAAATAGCTTATTTATGTTTTTCAAATGGCCAATAAACATCAATGAGTAAGTCCTTCCTTTGAGGAAAATAACTATGGGTTAAGTGCTGGGTGTTATTTGGCCCAAAACTAAGGGGTTGGCATTGTGGCTGCTATTGTACATGGTGCACAACACTGGGAAACTTTGCTGTGATACTTGATGGAGACAATCAGCTTTACTGGAGAAAGGAAGTGTTTTCAGGTTTTGGATAACACCCTGTGGGAGATACAAGGGGAGTTAAACCAGGGCACCAAGCTGAGGCCCTGAGGCTCTTCAGTGAGGGGAGGAGAGCATGCATGGGACTCTTTTCCTTCTTGTTGGTTGGGCTGGGAAGAATGAGTCTATAGGAGAGCAATAGGGAAATGGATTTGGGAGAAATGAGGTGCACTACCAGCCTCTGTCAAGTGTCATCTGCAGCAGGCAATTAGCAGCAAACTCGTTAATCGAGTACCAAATGAAGTGGATCTGGTCAAGGGCTGTAAATTCACCTCTAATTCTTGGGCTTGTTATTCTCCTGAGGAAAGAGTGAGAGCGGAACCTGTGCTCCCATTTCCATGCTGGCCATACCTCTTTCTGGCAGAGTGATTTTTCTTTCTTCTGTGAATCTTCTTAAAGGGTACAACCTGAGGGAGGAGAGTTTGTTTTCCCAGTGAGCTGTTGCCTGTCCTTTCTGCCATAAGTCTCTTGTGGTGCCTTCATGCATTGCTGCATCCTTTCCCACCCATTGGACCTGAACTGCTGTCTGAGCATTGCTTCATCACAGCTGGGGGGTAAGCAACAGCCCTGGCAAGAGAAGGTCAGTGCTGCCCTGAGAGACAAACCTGGGGAAAGCACTAGTTATCACAGGCTGAAAAATGTGCTGCTCTCGTCTCAGGAATAAGCAACTGTATTGCAGTCCATAAAACCCATAACTGCAGGGAAAAGGCACAGATGTCCCAAGGGTCTGGGGGACATGAACCTGAAGCTGTGAATCAAATCGGGTATCTTTTAGTAAATGGGAAATTGAGTATTGGCTTAAATCCTCCTCTCTTGGAGGAATGTATAGCCATTCAGGATCTTTGGAAATTCACATTCAGAACTAGACTGAGCCCCAAGAGTCATAGTTTAAGCATATTTTGGTTAGAAAACAAACAAATCACACATGATGTAAGCTCCCTTTAATAGTGGTGGTACTGTCCTGTGGTGGCCTACAGCCCCTTTAGAAACAGGGTTAGGGTCCACCTGAATCTTGTCTCATCCCTCTCTCACTTTGAATTATGAAGATCAGCTCTTTGCCCTTTAAACTAAGATCCAACTTGGTCTGCAACAAATACATTAGTTACCTGGGGAAATGTTGGCAATTCCCTGTTTTTTCACAGCCATTAATAAATCCGCCTTTCCAAACAAACAGCAGCAAATTTCCTTGCCTTCTCTAATGAATCCCCGGAGGGAAGTGTGGATTCTGCATATAAATGTGTTTTGCTCAGATTACCCATCTTTAAGTGGTGTTTTTTTCTCCCTCTCACTCATTGCTCAGTTCAGCAGCATTGAACACTTCCCCTGCTTCCCAAGACTGAACTCTTCCCCAAAGTTGCCAGCCAAGCACAGGATGCCCCAGGCATTTTAAAGCCGAGTAAATAGCCCAGTTAAAAGCAGTCGTTCAGCCTCTGAGCAGACATAACGCTGTGCCCAGCTGGTCTGAGGATCCCAGGAAGTCTTGCTATCAGCTTGCACTGCAGGAATGGGCATATCTGCTCTCACCAATGTCACTAACCCATGTGCAGCTGTATTCAGCTCCTCTCATTCTTGTCATGCAGGCCTCCCGCGGGTGCGAAGTGGGGGTTGCAGAGAGGGTCTCCATGCTGGTGTCTGGGCCGAGTTGGTGAGGTCTGGGGAAAACCACCAGGAAGCTGTAGGATCTGTTTTTGGTGTGTTCTTAGAAATAGCTGTGTGTCTTTAGAGTTTGTGGCTATGTTCTGCGCTGGTTTTGTGGCTCTTGAGATGAGGGGAACGAGATTGGAGAAGCAGTGACAATGCTCTTCCACAGGAGGAATATGGAGTTTGATTCTTCTGTGATTTTATATGCAACTTCTCTAACTCATGCCATAGCTTTCTGCCGCTTACTAAATGCGGCTTTCAAGCTGGAGGCTTTTAGATGATTTGTGGTCTTTCCAAAAAGCCCCAACAGAACTTGAAACGTGTTTTGGTAAATTTTATGAACAGTCTGGAGTTTGTTCTTTCTGGGAACAATAAGGTGGGAAAAAGCAACAAGCAGCATATACTGCAAGGGTGTGAGCCCCTTGCTTAAACCTGAATGTCCATCAGTGGTCACTTAAATGAACCATGAAAGCTCCTCCTGGAGTCAGATTTGGGTTGATGTTGAGTTCACTGTCACCACCCAGTGTGAAAGCGCATACGTTTGCTACTGGTCTGAAACAGAACAAATATACATTGCTTGATGTTCTTAATAGCACTCATCAGGGACATACTCTTGACTAAACTGATATGCTTCTGGGGCAGATCTGTTAGCCTCACTACAGTTACTCCACATTTCCATTTTAAAATCTGTGTGATAAATATTAAACTAGAAGAGTGACATTTTAAAGGCAAGTTCCTTTGGGGTTTTATGATAAAATCACACGTTCTGTCTCAGATCCAGAAAACCACTTGCTGTGTGCTTAAGGGGTAACTTCCCTCAAAGTAGATAGCAGTTTCATCATTAGATAAGTCCTATATGATTAAATATGCTCTTATAAGACACTAATCAGATGATTGCATATAAAATTACAAGCCAGAAATACCAGCCATGTTGTTTTTTCTTGCTTGCAGTAGCTACTAAGCACTTAATGAGAGAATTGCAGCATGTCAGATGCTGAGTAATGGCCAGGTGTTTGTTGGGTACTAGGTGTTTGTTGGGTACTGGGTGTTTGCTCACCCAGTGCACACTGATACCTGTTATCCACCCTGGGGAGCAAACCTGGTGCTATTAACTCTGGGAGGGTGATTCAAATCCACCTCCAGTTATGTGTCAAGATACTGAGTGAGATCTGATCTTGGCATCTGCCTTTTTCAGTAATTTGGAAAGCTGCATCCTCAAAGGTATAGTCACAAATATATTCTAGAGTACTGGATCTCAGGCTCTGATCTCTTATTACAAGAGTCATAACTTTCACTTTTCCAGTAGACATGCTGGATTTTCTGGCTTTCTTTGATGCCGTTAATGAAGTACTATTTTTTTTACTAATAGGCACTGGCACTTGATCACACAAATTAAGATCTTTGAGGTCTAATGCATATAATTGCTGAATAATTCAGTTCTTGACAGTGATGGAGGGAGGGAAGCAGAAACACCGTGTCCAAATCCAGTCCCAAATGTTTGTCTGAATGGAGAAAGCAGAAGCTCAGGAACGGTTCTGTTCTTCCTGCCCTAAACCTCTGAGAGATTTGAAACTGTGATGTAGTTTTGCAATGGAGGGAGCAAAAGCCTGACTGTGGATAGCCCTAGGCTCTGGAAGAAAGCAGATTACAGCCAAGTTGTGTTTCTTGACTGATCTTTCTGAAATGCAGTGATTCCTTCTGGCTTCAGACTGGTTTGTTATGTTTGATGTAAAAATCCATCCTTTGCTTTGAGGATGGAAGCCCCTAGCGACACCTTCTTTTTATCTTCATTTACTTAAATGAATGTTAGTTAGATGAATCACTCCCTGTTGTAAAGATTTATTATTATTGCTGAGGAGTCCCAGAAGATATTGCACAATTTTATAGACCATTCCATTTTCTTGAGTTCAACAGCTTCTGTGTGACCAAGCCCTCATAGGTGATGTGGTACTTCATTAGCACAGCCTGAGTCATTCCAGCAATGCCTTCTTCACTGGCCTTGCTAATATGCTGACAAACAGCAGGAGCCACTGGCTGAGACGTTTGCAAAGCTCTCCTCCCACCAGCTGGGACAAAACACACACACTGGAGTTGTTAAATGGCTTTTGCAGGATGGTTTTCTGAACTGCAGAATTGGCTCAGATGGGAGCTCCTGGTACCAGCTGGGGTAAAAATTGAGTAGGTTTTTGTTTTCTTCCCTCGGAGTTCCTCCCGATCATTTGCTTAGAAATGATTGGGGATTACAGTAGCAATTCAGACTGTACAGAAATGCGTCCACGGCTTGGGCTGGGCAGTTGTTTCAGCTTCTTATTTGTCATGTGCTATAACAAGAATCAAAGGTTCTGAAGTGCTCCAGCCTGATTCCTACATGTCTCCTGTCTGCCCTAGGTTAGCAAATGCTGAAGGTGCTGTCTAGTTTTACACAAAGAACCCAGCCACCCCCCTTGAGAGATGAAGACTGTTCATACACTGCTCAGAACCAGTTGAGCTGCGGACCTTTAAAACGCTAGAGGTTATGTGGGTATGGAAAACATACATCCATCACTGACACTTAGTGGCTCCCAACTGCCCAAAGGTGCAGGTGTATGTGTAAGCCTGGTGGCTAGAAGGAAAGTAAGATACAGAAAAGAGATCAATCTGTTGATACTATTTGGTGAATGTGTCTTGAACATGTCTAACCCCAGAAAATCCTGATGATTGGCAGGGGAAGGTGGGCTGGTGTTGAGGCTGGAGTTCTATTGATTTCTTTCCTCTTTAAATGAAGTGATATTGGGCTTGTATGTAAGCTGCTGTTCTGACAGTTAGTTAGCCACGCAAGGCATTAAAGTCATTCACTGCCCTTTCTATCCGAACAAAGGAGGACTATTGTGTCTGAGAACATCTGTGGTTGAGCAGCAGTGGCTTGTTCTCTTAGTCATTTATGGTGCTCATCCATCAACCCTACTAAAGTGAAATTAGAGTTTATAAGCCATTTAATTCAGAAGGAGTTAGGAAGTGCTTTAATGAGCTTTGCATAATGGAAGCTTTTATAATGCAGACAAAACATGGTTTAATATTAATCATGAGAGGAAAGAAATCAAAGGCCAGATTATCAACAGTTTTGATTGTCCAAATAAGAAATCTTCTGAGGAAGCCTCTCTGAGCTCTGTAGCCCCTGAGCCTGCAGGGAGGGCTGTTTTGTCCCAGAATGGCACCCTGTGAAGGGATTTGCCTTGGTGGAGAAGGGCTTGGGATGCATCTATAGATATGAGGAAAAATAGTGACATTTAGTGGCTCTTCAGTTTCCATGAGAAACTCACTGCCCAGAGAGAAACTTGGATTCTTGGTTTGAAGGAGTGTTTGAGGCCAGTGTTTGAAAGAGGGGTTTGTGGACTACATTTTCATAATACACAATAGGCAGGAATAGAAGGTAGATGTTTCCTTTCAGTCACTCAAATCCCTCCTAGCCCTTTTAAAAGCCATGAGATTAAAAATCCATTGGATAATATTGCTGTCAGCATGTACACATTGTTGAAGTGTTGGGTCTGATGTAGGAAGTGGCAGTTGTGCTGCATGACTGATTCTTCTATGTGGAAAAGCTGCATCTAGTTGTCAGTGATGCTGCTCGAAATTTATTCCTCATGGAAAGAATTGTCTGTTAGGAATAAGCCTGGATAACTGGAAGAGGAGACAGTCATAGGAGCTTCTAGAAGAAGGATCCTTGGATGGGCAGCAATTTTGCCCCTATATTAAGTGGATCAAAACTTCGAGTCTAAAATTGTAGGCAAACAGATTTTTAATTCATTTCTCTCTCTTTTTTTTTTTTTGGATAATGGTTTTCCTGTATTATGAGCCATCAGTATCTTTGCTGCTACCCACTACTGGCCAGGTTTGGGATAGCAGAGATGTCTCAGCTGGGCAGGCCAGACTCTATTGTTGCCCGTCACTGGCATTTAAGAAATCACTGAGAAGTGGTGCAGGAACCCTGAGCTTGCCAAGTACATTGTTGTAACCTCATGTAACATCCTCTGACCTGGGGGTGTTTGGGATGCTGCCTGCTCCTCCTGACTATCTGTGTGCTCTTAGAGAGGTCAGATAATGGCGTGGGGGGGGAGGCCTGCAGCACTTTGGTTTCTCTGCCTGTACGATGTGGTGTGTGAGTAGGAGCCTGTGAAATCCTCCACTCAGGACTTATTTGTGCTGGCCAAGTCGATGTTCTTAAGTATATGCATACACACACAACATCTGAGTCTCCCTCTCTTGGTGCTTGGAGCCTTCTGTTCTTTGAACTGTTTTCGCTTATCATCCACCTTTTACATATGCAGCAATCCAGTGCATTCCTGTCAGGACGTGTGGCACCATCTCACTTTTTGTGTGATGCTGTTAATGTATAGCTGGGGGGGGGGGGGAGTGTAATAAAAGACCTTGAAGTTGGTGTTGTTGGAGAACTGCCTACAGCAAAAAGCAGGGAAGTGTTTCACTTGGTGCTTCGAGCCTGCAGCACCAAGGGATGTTAAACTGGAATGTCAAGTGGTTTGTATTGTGAGGGTTTTTGGTTTGCTTTATTGTTTCTTTTGTTGGTTTAGGGTTGGTTGGTTTGAGTTAGGTGGGTTTTTTTGTGTTTTGTTTGTTTGGGGTTTTTTTTTGTTTGTCTTTTAGATTTTTAGGTTTTACTTTTTAGATGATTTTAAGCTGGGCATCATCATCAGAATGACATGAGCTGTGGCTTGAGCTAGACATTCCCCCAGCAAAGCCTTGCCTTCTACACAGCCTCTTGTGCACTAGAGCCATGAACCAGCCCAAACAGAAACAGTGGAAGGAAGGGAGATCGCTGCTGAGTTTTGGATTGGGTCTGTTCCCAGGAAGGACCTTTAGCATCAGGTATTTCATCTGCACACAGCGTGTGCATGTTCCTAGGCTCCATGCACGTGGTCCCTGTCCTGTCATACCCAACAGTGGGAGGTGGCACTTCAGCTCTGCTCCCACATCCTTCTCAAACCTTCTGCAGGCAGGAGGGCTTCTGGCATCTCTGGATCTCTGTTTCTGCAGTCTGTGTCTGTCACAATCTCGACTGCCCGTCTCCTGCTTCCTTCTTGTTCTTTGTAATTGGCTTTTTGCTAATTTGTTTGGTTATCTCTTGAATACAATAAATGACAAAGATGAAGGTGACTTGGCATAATTATTCTGATGGGTTAATGGGGCCCTTCAACAAGCACAGAATGATTATGAAGTCCAATTAGGAGCAGGGAACAGCTCTGAAGAGAGACACTTCTGTATTTTCTGAACTGTAACGGATTTCCTCCCTTACAGAGCTCAGTGTGTTCAGTTTATGTGTATTTGTGGACCTCCTAGGA